TAACTTTGCTAGCCAAATAAATAAAATACCACCCTTGACTTGACACCCCAAAATTGGCCGCGCGGGACCCCACGCCCGGGGTCGAGATCGATCTGCAGTGGGAGTGAACACGGGTTCAAAACTGCCCTGTTAAGGAGCTCCAAAATAAAATAAAGTAATATAATATTTTGGATGATTGTAGGTCTAGTATACATGGCCGTGGGAGCGGAAAACGGTAGCTGGTCTGGATGCCCCGTTTTTTCATCTTACATCTGTCGTATCGGCTGCCAGAATTGGCTATATCATTATGTGTAGTCCCGTAATTCCGACATTTCGGGAGGCCGACTGGATTTGGCCGCTCGACATCAGCCCGGACCTCTTCTCAATGTCCTCGTCGAGACCACAGTGCTCTTGGTAGAGTACCCGTACCAATTTGAGATTGATATGTTGAGTTTGGTGTCTGGTCCTATGTCTTGATTTCCTCTTGGTCTCACCGCTTCTCACTCGGGGGCTCAGAGGGTGCCTCGCCTTAAGCTTGTGTTTGGTCTGTCCAACTCCTTTGGGCGCACACTCCTGGCGTCGCTGTTGTCTGTGAGATGACGATTCTGGTCTTATTTTCACGTTTGACTTGGACTCTCTGTTTGTCCCTAGTGAGTACGAATAACCATCTTTTTTTCTTTCCTAGTGTCAGTCCCTTGACTTTCTTACCTATAGCTCTCTTCCTTTTCCTCGAACTTTCCCCTTCTTTGAATCGGATTTTTGGCTCTTCCTCCGTCTTCCTCTTTCCTTTGTCCTTGGGGTCAATCACCACGGGTCTGGGTACTCCTCTTGGCTTGAACAGTTTCAGTCTTGCCCCAGCTACTAGGTCTTTCCATCTAGAGCCGTCTAGTTCCACTATTACGTAAGCTTCCCACTCGAGAGCCTCCACCACTCGGTATGGTCCGATCCATCGATTTGCCAACTTACCTGACCAAGTCCTTTCTAATCCGGCGTCATACAATAGTACTCAGTCTCCTACTCGAATCTTTTCCTTCCTCACTCTGACATCTTTGTCCCACCGTTCTTTTCCCTTTGCTCTTTCCACTGCCAACTGATCTGCCACTGTCATAAAGTCGTCCTCCAGTCCATACGCAATTTGTCTAGTTCGTGCCACTAGGAGCTCCTCACGTTTCATGTTGTCGGCCCAAGCAACGATCATCCAACTATCTACATGGAACTCAATAGGGAGCGGGCAGCGCCTCCCAGACCACAAGGTATAGGGAGGATATCCGGTGCTCGCTCTCACGGTCACATTGTCTGCCCAGATTGCGTATCCGAAGCATCGCGGTCAGTCTTTCTCCTTTCCTTTACACCACTTTGATAACGACGAGACTAGTGACTAATGTCCACGCTCAACCGGAGTAGTAGTTTGAGGATGATATGTTGTAGCTAGGGATATCCTCAACCCCGCCCTCTCGAATACAATTTGTACCTCGTCGGCTAGAAACTCTGCACCCAGATCCATGACTACTCTGCCTACACAGCCATACCTCGAAAGATATTCTAAAACAAAATTTCTAACCTCTAAAACAAAATTTCTAACCTCTTTGGTTGTCTTAATCCTGAGCGACCTCCCGTCAACGAAACTTGTGAAGTCATCTCGAATGTTCACAATTTAGTTCAGGTCTCCTACTCCCCGGGGCATCTTCACCAAGTCAATATGAACCTTCTCTCCAGGTCTCGTGGGTTAAGACGGGTGAAGAGGCTCCTTGTATCTAACAAGAGCTCGCTTCTGGCATTCTTCGCATGTCATGCAGTGGCGTTGTACATCTTTGTATTGGCCTTTCCACCAGTACAGACGCCTAACCTTCTTGTGTGTTCCCTTCACTCCTCTGTGTCCATCAGCTATCCCATCATGTAACTCCTCGATAATCGATTGTCCACCAGCTATCCCATCATGTAACTCCTCCGTAATTGATTGTCTCTCCTGCGGGTCACACACTACGTGAATTGGCATACCAGTCCCGTTCGGTCTGCGGACCAAATGCCCTGACTTGAGGCAGTACATATGTGCTTGCCTACGAATCTCAGGATTTGTGCTCTCATTTCCAGCTAGGTGCAAGCCTATGGCTCGGAACTTCCCATCATATAGATTTTGAAGGAAACGCCGCACACTGCTCTCTCCTGTCACAGTAAGCGCCCCAACCGTAATGGTCTCTTCCTTTACTATAGGGATTCGTGACATCCCATCCGCTACCGCATTTTTAGTCCCAGAAATTCTCTCCACCGTGTAGTCAAATAATCGAATGCGGATCAGCCATCTCGCGATCGTAGGGTTAGTCAAGGTAAAGTCCTTTCGTAAAACAGAGGCCACTGCCGTGGGATCAACGCGGAGCATGAAGCATCTCCTGTAGATATAATGCTTGAAAGCCTCTAGGCACCGGAGAACCGTCAGAACCTCTTTCTTAAACTGACTATAATTTCTCTCTGCAGGATTCAGAGACTTGCTCTCGAATCTAAAAGGTCTCTCTTTTCCTTCCGCGTCCTTTTGCGACAACAGTCCTCCAACAAAAGCTGGTCCAACGTCAGTCGATACTATGAATGGGCGTCTATCCTCGTCATCAAAGTATGGCACCCCTAGCACGCAGCGGCCCTCCTTAAACTCCTCCTTTAGCGCAAGTATGGAAGCCTCCTGGGAAGACCCCCATTCAAACTGCGCACTCTTCCTTAGAAGCAATCTTAGAGGCTCAACCTTCTCACCGTAGCGAGAAATGAAGATATGTCAGTAACCTACAACACCTAGGAATTGGCGTACCTCAATTGGACTGTTTAGGGGTGCGGGCGAATTCAAGAGCTTTTCCAGTTTCGCTGGATCAGCTCGCTGACCCTTTTGATCACAAATGAAGCCCAAGATCTTGATTGAAGACACAACCCACCTGTTCTTTGTACCGTTGGCTGTGAGGTAAACATCGTCCAGTTGTTCTAGCACTGCGTATATGTATGTGAGGTGCTGCTCTACGAATCTCCTCACTCCAAGTACAACCTTCGTTTCATTCTTTTCTACAAGACCTTTGATTGGAAAGTCATCCAGAAAAACTTCAACCTTGTCAGGTATAAAATCTTTCAATACTGCGACCATCGCTCTCTAGAATACAGCCACGCCATTAGTCCAACCCATGGGCACTACCATCATCTGCACCAAACCGAGTGGTGTGTGCATAGCAATCAGATGTCGATCTGGAGGGTCGAGAGGAATCTTGTCGTATCTAGAGAATGGTTGTGGGAAGCGACAGCC